TGTAGGGGGTTGACCCATTGACTTTATGGTAGATACAGGGGCAGAACATTTTGTGGTGACTCAACCCATAGGCCCTCTTTCACAGAGACAGGCCACCATTGCAGGGGCTACGGGCAGCCAGACTCATCGCCCTTTCCTGCTGCCCAGATGATGCAACCTGGGAGGCTGCAAAGTCATTCACAAGTTCTTATACCTCCCTGACTGCCCAGTGGCTTTAATGGGTTGAGACTTGTTAGGAAAATTGAAGACCCAAAAAACTCTCACCTTCCATGGCCAAGTAGCCCTAACCCTGGGGAAACCAGAAGCAAGGATCATGACACTCACAGTTCCCCAAGGAGAAGAATGGCTCCTCTACAGTAGGGAGACCACAACCTGGACCTGAGCGCCCCTTCAAAATACTTGGGGTATGGGCTGAAGACAATCCCCCTGGACTAGACTGGAATATTCCCCCAGTACTGGTAGAGCTCAGACCAGGAACAGAGCCCATACGTCAGAAACAGTATTTTATCCCTCACATGGCACAGATCGGGATCCATAAACATCTAGAGAGACTCAATAAGTATGGGATCCTTCGACTGTGCCAGTAACCATGGAATATGCCTCTCTTACTGTTCCAAAAAAAAAAAACAAACAGGGACCTACGATTATCAGCCAGTCCAGGACATGTGGGCCATGAACAAGGCTACCGTAACTCTGGACCCAATCGTCCCCAATCCATACACCTGCCTGGGACTCATCCCCACAACCTTCTTCACATATCTAGATCTTAAGGATGCCTTTTTCTGCATACACCTGGCCCCTCAGAGCCAGTCGATCTTCACCTTCCAGTGGGAAAATCCTGAGAATAGAGACAAAGGCTAGCTAACTTGGACTTGATTGTCTCAAGGTTTTAAAAACTCTCCGACCATTTTCAGAACAGCACTGGCCTCCAACCTAAAAGCCTTCCTAGCAGACCAGAATGGCTTTGCTCTGCTCCAGTATGTAGATGATCTACTGCTGGCAGAGAAAACACAAGGAGAATGTATGGAGGGAACACAAACACTCCTTACCCTATGGGAAGCCAGATATAAGGTTTCCAGAAAAAAAAAAGCCCAAATCTGTCAGGAGAAAGTTAAATACCTTGGCTTCTACCTATCCCAGGGGCAATGCCAACTCGGCCCAGAAAGAAAAGAGGCTGTCTGCTTGATACCCATTCCATCTACCCGATGCCAGGTTTGGGAGTTTCTAGGTGCCAGAGGGTTCTGTAGGATCTGGATACCCAACTACTTTGTCTTGGTGAAACCCCTTTATAAGACCACAAAGCGGGGCAAATGAGAACTCCTAGTATGGGAACAGGTACAACAAAAGGCCTTTGAAGACATTAAGCAAGCCCTCACTAGTGTACCTGGTTTGGGACTGCCTGACCTCTCCAAACCCTTTTTCCTGTATGTACATGAATGGGCAGGCATTGCAGTCGGGGTCCTGACTCAAATGTTGGGAACTGGGCATTGCCCAGTGGCCTATCTCTCTAAACAACTTGACTCCATCACCCAAGGCTGGCCACCCTGTTTGTGAGCACTTGCAGCCACGGCCCTCTTCGTGTTAGAGGCCGACGAACTGACTATGGGGCAAGAACCGACAGTTCAGGTACAAATTCAGTAATGGTGTTACTGGAGTATAAGGGACAATATTGGCTAACCAATGCCCAGATGGTCAGATACCAAGGAATGCTGTGCGAGAATCCACGCATACGCCTAGAGGTAGTACGAACCTTGAACCTAGCCACCTTGCTACCCATTGGGCCCAGCCAGCCAGACCACCATTGCATTGAAGTCATGAATGAAGTGTTTTCCAGCCCACACGACTTGACAGACCAGCCCCTCAAGGACCTTGGTGCGGAATACTATACTGATGGTAGCAGCTTCGTGAGGGGAGGAGAACATCTTGCAGGATGTGCTGTGGTGGCTCTACATTCTATCACTGAGGCAAAACCTCTGACTAGGGGAACCTCAGCCCAAAAAGTAGAGTTCATTACACTGCTGTAGCAGGAGTACATGTCAATATACATACTGACTCTAAATATGCCTTTACCACGCTCGATGTAGACTTATATAAAGAGAGGACTGATCAATTCATTGGGGGAAAGACATAAAGTATGGAAAACAGATCCCTGAGAGTGATGTCAGAAACATGGCAGTGTGAGGGATGTTCCCAGATCTCTCCCCTTGAAACAACAATAGGCTGAACATCTAAAATTCAATAAAAAACACCCAAACTGCACACCAATACATGTGAATGTGGGATCTGAGCATAAGAGCTACCACAGGTCAGAACTCCAGGTGTCGGGTGGTGGACTGGGAGAAACAAAGAAGCTGCCTCTCACAGCCCACTGGAGCTCCCTGTAAGAGGAGGAGGAGGGGAGAAGGTGTGGCAACTTCCCTGAACAGCTCTGCCTGGGAGGGCTGTGAGCTCCACATGGCTGGTAGCAGGACTAAGTCATCAGGGCAGAAGGCAGAGAAGCGAGGATGGCAGAAAAGTGGAGATGGCAGAGAAACAACAGTTGATTTTTACTGGCCATGGCTGCAAAACTGAGGCTAAGCTGCAGCCTCCATCCTCCAACCCAGAGGGTCCCTTCCCTTATACCCTCTGAGACAAAACACTGTGGAGCCCAGGGGAATCTGAGCAAATGCTACCAAAACTGTCACTAACACTGACAAGAACTGAGACTGAGGGTAGCAAGAGTGTCCAAACATCTATAAGGAAAAAAAAAGGCATTATTAAGACTTTATGTAAAGCAGGGATCCAAGGGGCTTAGACAAAAAGTAATGGAAACCAAAAGAAAAATGCCTTCTTTGCAACAGGCTAGAGAGATCATTATATTATAAATCTTCTATCTGGAAAAAAAGCAGAATATACTTCCATTAATGTCCAGGCAGAGAAATAGTACATTAAACACCACGAAAAACCAAAGTGACAAGGCATCTCAGAAAAAAAAGAAAAGAAAAGAAAAGAAAAATCTCCAGAAAATAAGCTTACAGACATGAAAATATGCAACTTAAGTGGCAGAGAATTCAGGATTGTGCTTCTGAAAAAAACTCAGTGAGGTCCAAAACAAATCATATCAACAGTTTCAGGAACTGAAAAAACAACTAGATGAGCAGAATGAGTTTTTTAGCAAGGAGATTGAAATCCTCAAAAAGAACTAAATAGACCTGGAGATAAAGAACACACTGCAAGAGTTGAAAAAAAAAAATAGCAAGCTTGGGAAATAGAGTCGACTGAATGGAGGAAAGGATCAGTAATATCGAAGACAGAAATCTTCAGAAATAAATCAGAAGGAAGAAGGAAGAAACCGAAGAATGAAAAATCATGAAAGAGAAATACAAGAACTAGCTGATACCATCAGGAGAGAGAACATAAGAATAATGGGGATTTCCTAAGGCCAGGAAAAGGAGCAGGGACTAGAAAGCATTTTCAGACAAATGGTGGACAAGAATTTCCCAAATCTAAGGAATGAGCTGGAGCTTGGAATTCAAGAAGTCAACACAACACCCAATTATCTCAACCCCAAAAGGCCTTAACCAAGACATCTTGTATTAAAATTATCAAATATCAGTGACGAAGACAGAATTCTCAGGGCAGCCAGGGAAAAGAAGACGGTAACCTATAAAAGAAAACCCATCGAATTATTGTCGGACTTCTCAGCACAAACCTTACAAGCCAGAAAGGAGTGGAATCCAATATTCAAACTATTAAATGAAAGGAACTACCAGCCAAGAATAATGTATCCAGCTAAGCTCTCTTTTAGATATGAAGGAGAAATAAAAACCTTTCCAGACTTACAAAAATTGAGAGAATTCTCCACTATGAGGCCTACATTGCAGGAAATATTGAAAAAGTCAGCTCACCTAAAACAAAATGACAAAAAAAAAAAATAGATCATTAGGAGTAAGATGACTAGCAAGCTGATAGAAGCAGAGGAGTGCAACCCTTACTAAGAACAGGGCATTATAAGCTTAAACACTAAGAAGAAGTTTGCTATAGCAAGATAGTAATGAATGTTGAACATACATAGGAACAAATTGAGACAACAATACTGAAAAGGAGAGGATTCAAAGATCCAAATTCACAAATGGAGATAAGGCAAAGAAAAGGGATGACTGTATATAAGTAACTGTCCTTTACATATTCATAATGCTAACCACAAACCAAAGATTCAGAACTGAAGTATATAACATAAAACAAAAAGGACCAGAGGAAAAACTCACAAAATCCAACCAAAATAAAGATAACAGAAACAACAAGGAAGCAATGGAAATACTGAGCTACCAGAAAGCAAAAGATAAAATGGCTATAAGAAGACCTCATATTTCAATAATCACCCTAAATGTAAATTGACTGAACTCACCAATAAAAAGGCACAGAGTTGTAGATTGGATCAAAAAACAAAACCCAACCATATATTGCCTCCAGGAGACACACCTCAGCTCCAAAGACAAATATAGATTCAAAGTGAAAGGGAGGAAAATGATATTTCAAGCAAATGGTATTCAGAGGAAAGCAGGAGTAGTGGTATTAATATTGGACAAAATATACTTCAAAATAAAAAATGTATGGAAAGATACTGAGGGACACTTCATAATGATAAAGGGAATCATGCACCCAAAAGACATAACACTTATTAATATCTATGCTCCCAATAAGAAAGCCCCAAAATATGTAAAGCAATTACTAACAGAACTAAAGAGAGAAACAGATTTAAACATTATCTTAGTAGGGGATTTAAATACCACACTGCCGGATATGGACAGATCATCTAAACAGAAAATCAATAAGGAAATAACATCCTTAAATGACACATTAGAACAACTAGACATAATTGACATTTACAGAGCCTTCCATCCCAAAACAGCTGCTTATACATTCTTCTCTAGTGCACATGGGACATTCTCAAGAATCGACCACATACTGGGATACAGAGACAGCCTCAACAAATATAAGAGTGTTGAAATCATACCAACCATATTCTCTGATCATAATGCTTTGAAGATGGAGATCAACTGTAAAAAGAAAGCAAGAATTACAAATACATGGAGATTAAACAATATATTACTGAAGAATAACTGGATCAGAAAAATAAATAAAAAGAGAGATCAAGAACATAGAAACAAATGACAATGATAGTACAACATATCAAAACTTTTGAGACAAAGGAAAAGTGGTCATAAGAGGAAAGTTCATATCATTACAGGTCTACCTCCCAAAACAGAAACGAGCTCAAATAAACAGCCTAACAATTCATCTTAAAAAACTAGAAAAGAAAAAACAAATGAAGCCGAAAGTGAGCAGAAGGAAAGACATAATCAAAATTAGAGCAGAAATAAATGAAATTGAAAACAAACAAAAAAAATAGAAAAAATAAACACAACAAGGAGCTGGTTCTTTGAGAAGGTTAATAAAATTGACAAACCCCTGGCTAGACTCACTAAAGAAAAAAGTGAAAGGACACAAATAAACAAAATCAGGGATGAAAGAGGGAAATTACTACAGACACTACTTATAATTACTTATAAGAAAAAGTACAGACCAATATTCTCATGAACACAGATACAAAATTCCTAAATAAGACACTAGCAAACTAAATACAGCAACATATTAAAAAGATTATACACTTTAATCAAGTGGGCTTCATCCCAGGGGCAATGGGGTGGTTCAACATATGCAAATCAATTGTGATACACCACATAAACAAATTAAAAAATAAGAATCTTATGATCATATCAATAGATGTAGAAAAAGCCTTCAACAAGATACAGCATCCATTTAGGATCAAAACACTTAACAAAATTGGTATATAAGGAAAGTACCCTAACACAGTAAAGGCAATCTATGACAAACCCTCAGCCAACATTATATTTAATGGCGAAAAACTAAAAATCTTCCCTCTAAGATCAGGACCAAGGCAAGCCTGTCCGCTATCACCACTGTTATTCAATATAACATTGGTGGTCCTGGTGAGTGCAATCGGCAAGAGAAAGATATAAAAGGCACCCAAATAGGAAATGAAGAAGTAAAACTGTCACTATTTGCAGATGACATGATTATACAGAAAACCCTAAAGACTCCACAAAAACACTACTAGAAACAATAAG